TGGGGTTGGGTTTCCTCGTGAGTGGGAAAGGGTTGACCCAACAGTGTCTGCGGCAAAAACCATGTCTTTCCTTCTCCAACCTTAACGCTCGTCCAAAAGTCTCCGTCGACTGATTGTCTTTCTTGAGGTGACAATTGTACAGTTGGTCCTGAAATATCTGCAACTCTTTGATCCAATACGGTTGGACTTTGTGTGCTATCAGATCCGGACATATACCCGGTCTCATTCATGACTTGCGATACATTCAAAGAACTAGTTGTCTGTCTGGTTGATGGCGAGTGTCTAACCCGTGGTATCTGTTTTACAGTCATATAGATATGTGTTTCTGTTGATTGAGAAACCGGTGGAAATGCATTGGGTAAGTGCCACACGACTGCCCCAACTCTAACTACTGTTGTGTCGCTTCCTGTGGCCATAGTTTGATCCGCACTTGTATTATACGGATTCAATGCCGATGTCTTTAAACGATAGTTATTTTTTCACTCAAACAATCAGTTAATTGAAATTCATATTTAAAATATAGTTATATAATGTATTCAAAGCGCGACACAAATGATGGCAATAATAATAATGAGGATCGAAATACTGCGCGATTACCCGGATATTTAACTGAAATAATCAAATCAAAGCAATCGCAACCATTTAATAGCATAAATCAGTTGACAGAAATATAATCATTAAATCAATTCAACGCAAGACATATGCAAATCAAGTAATATCACAAATGAAAAGCAAAGAAGTGAAAACTGAAAAAGATAACAATACAACGGCATCGATAGCACCAGCGGTTAGCAGCACCAGAGGGACAAAGACAGCGCCCGACACCGGCAGACATGAATCCACTGAGAGTTCAGAGCCTCAGTTGGAGGCCGTGAATGGGCGCAGATATAGTACGGAAGCGTCGGTTGTCGGCCGACGAGTGGCCAAAAGGTCGCGACTGTTCCGATGCAAGTTACGAGTCTTCTGTGCACTCCATCGACCCGTTGGTCTACTCAGCCGTTCCTATCACTACTTCTTCTTCGTGTTAATCGCATTCAGTTGTATTGTATTCAACATATTTGAGGCACATTTCGATGATTATGCCTTCCTATGTATGACTGTCTTGGATTCGTGTCTCACAGGTATTATTCGAGAGAGAGAGAGAGAGAGAGAGAGAGAGAGAAGACAATCTGGAGATTGATAGAGACTTTTGGACAGAACAGCGGGAAAGTGACGGAAAGATATGGTTTTTACCGAAAACATTGTTAGGTCTGCCGTTTCCGAAGCCAATGACAACGGCTACAAACCAGAAGGCATCGAAGATCCCGACGTTGCCGTCCTCGTCCTCCCATTCATATAAGAACATACTCTGAGAGAGAGCATTTGAATGACATTTGGCTAATATGTAACCAATATAAAAGTGCTATTACTGGTGGAACTAGTACTGCGGTTGTGGTCATCGGAATGCATTCCCCGATATAAAGGCTGGGGTGGAAAGTATCAATATCTGCACGATTACGGACCTCTTCGGGCTCTGGATGTGATCGGACTCTTGACTTTCTGTGCGTTTATTTGGGCCGAAGACTTTACCGACACTGTGGGCATACTATTACGACTTCTACATGTGCTGCAAATCTTTCAATTATATCGACTCATGCTGTCGTTGTTGCGGCTGATGATCAGTACGATCGTCGACCAGTTCCAGCAGTTGACCATCGCTTTCATATTTGCCTCAATAATACTTGTGCTCATCTCTCAGAGTATGTTCTTATATGAATGGGAGGACGAGGACAACAACGTCGGGATCTTCGATGCCTTCTGGTTTGGATACATCACTCTCACCACAGTTGGGTCCGTATGAGAGAGAGAGAGAGAGAGAGAGAGAGAGAGAGACTAATAGTTAACCATTACAGTTACGGTGATATAACTCCGAAAACAAAGTTGGGTCGAGCGATGACATGTGTGCTGGCCTTCTGTGGGATCTGTATTTTCCAACTGCCGGCCAATATCTTCGGCACCGGTTTAGCCATAAAGTTGAAGGAACAGCAAAAGACTATACTATTCAGAGGGCCGGCGTCTAAACTCATGCTAAGTCTGTGGCGGTGTTACGCGACGGAAGGCCCGAACTCGAGGACCACTTGTGTGT